TCACACAGGTGCATATATTTGCCAGAACTCCTGTTTCTCCTGAGGGCATTTTTGCGTGTGGACTCTGCCCCTCCGTGAAGTTGATTCTAGAGGCAATGAAAGACCGCGCGGCCTTGCTGTCTGCGGACAGAGGAAGCGCTACTGAAAGGGACCTCAGGAGGAGGGGGAGGTCACCGCGACCACAGGGGACGGACATCCGGACTCTGGCATGGAAGTGGACAGAACACATCAGAGGGAAAACCAGCGAGTTGTGGTGACTGAGGGCTGGAGAGAGCCGTGTCGAGGACAATTCCCAGGCGTCGGACTTGAGCAAAAGGGCAGAGGACAGTGGACAGGCATCCTCTCCGAGCCGAAGAGCACCAGAGGAGAAACGGGCCCACTGGGATCTCTGCTTCTGCTTCACATCAGGTGGATACGAGGGGCCTGTGACTGTCTTTCAGGGGTGTTGAGCCCATCTTTCTTTTTTTCCTGAAAACTTATGTATTTATTCACTGAAAGGCAGAGTTATGGGGAAATAGAGTGGGATATATATATATATGCGTATATATATATATATATATATATATATCTTCCATCCACTGGTTCACTCCCCAAATGGCCACAACAGCCAGGGCTGAGCAGGGCAAAGTCTGGAACCAGGAGCTCCATCCGGATCTCCCACGCAGGTGCAGGGGCCCAAGCACTTAGGCCATCTTCCACTGCTTTCCCAGGCCATTAGCAGGGTGCTGGATCGGAAGGGGAGCAGCTGGACAAACCAGCACCCATAATGAATCACAGGCAGTAGCATAACCCACTATGCCACAGCAGGAGCCCCACCCGACTTTCCAACCGTGAGAGTGTCTTTCTCCTTGGGGACAACTGAGGCATGGACTCGTAAGCCATGGGCAGGCCAAGCCCGCGGAAGTGCTGCAGGTTCCCAGCAGCTGGGCAGTCCCACTGGTCAAGGCAGGCTCTCTCTTCCTTATCTATCCTGGTTAGAAGAGCAGGCAGCTGGCTTTTCCAGCAAATTCCACCGGCATCCTCATCGGACACTCTCTGGCGTCCACCGGGCAAGATCTGAAGACAGAGCTCCATTTGGACTGGAGGGAAGGGCAGTGAAATCCCAGCGCTTAGAAAGCTCAGGAGACCAAGGCCCAGACACCTGCTCCAGCAGGTCGGAGGCACGAGTGGTGGCCCCAGCAAACTTCACCTGCACAAATACCGCCAGCGCCTTGGGGAAGGGCAGGGACATTGGCCCAGCGCAGCTGTGCAGACGGTGCTATTTAAAGCCTCGGCTTTCGCAGCCCCAGAGCTCTGGGCTTAGGCCTTGATTGGAAGGCGGAGAGAAGACAGCAAAACCAAGGAAGAAACCGGATTTGGGGGGAAGCATCAGCAGGTGGCTGGAGGCTGATGCGCACCCGGACTGTGCTAAATGAGCTCATTTTAATAAAATGAGGTCTCTCCATCTCTCTTTGAGTAAATTAAATGTGTTAATTCATGGAGAGTGCTTAGAATAGTGTCCGGCGCAGAGGGCTCACTGGATGGAAGCTGTCATTACTACCATTATTATCTCCCCATCTACCTATTTATCTAAATGTGCCCAGAGATGGCAAAACGCTCATCTATAATGATAGGTTCCTGCGCAGTGGCAGGATTTATAGCAATTCTGCTTTTACTCGCTTCTTTGTATCTTGCTGTAATCCCTTGAATTCCTTATAATGAGCACATTTATCTTGTGAAAACCCAGCGATCGCTGTGTGTTGACGAAAGTGCAGGCTGTGGACTCAGGCCTCCTAGTGACGTCTGAGCCCAAGCTGCACTGGTTAGCGGCTGTGTTTCTTCGAGCCAAGATTAACCTTCCTGCAGTGTTTTCTCCTGTATAAACCAGCGTACAGGTGTCACCCGCTTCGTTCAGCGGTGGTGAGAACTACAGAAGGTGATCTAGGTGGGGAGGAAGAGGGAGGTCAGCGGTGGCTGCTTTCCCAACAGAGGGTGGGGGGTGGCTGTTTTGCAGGGAATATGGCTTCCTTCACCCGGGCGGTCTCAGCACCAGTGGCACCAGCTTGGGCATCTTATGTGGGACGGTGGACTCACAGCATTCTCTGTCAAGGCAGAAAACACCCTGAGAAGTCATCCAGTTCCGTAATCCCCGTTTGGCCAGGGAGGAGGCAGTGCCGAGGTTTTGGACCGTGCGCCATTCTGAGTAGCGGGATGAAATCTCGCGCCAGCCCTCCCCGTCACACCGAGGACAGGAATCACCGCTTAGCCCGGCCACTCCTGAAGCATGCGCTGCTGGCCCCTGCGTCTCGTACTTGATGTCCTGGTTTATGAGACGCACGGCTGCAGTACCACAGTGCTCGTGTGCGAGTGACCCTTACGTTACATTAGCCCCGAGGTGCTATTTTATTACTAGCTGTTGTTGCTTAGCTCTGACTGTACCTAACTGATAACTCAGCTGTGTCATAGGTATTATGTATGTACCAATGGAAAAAACCCAAGGATTCGATACTGCCCACGGTTTCAAGCATCTGCTGCGGGGCTTGGAAGTTAGCCCTGTAGGCTGAAGGAGACTTCGGTACCTTCTCCTTCAAGGTCAAAGTTTGGGCCCTTGTGGCAGTGAGAAGCACAGATTATTTCTCCAAAGCTCTGGAGGCTCTCCAGGTAGGTGGGGCCCTTAGAAGATCTAGGCAGTAACCATTGATTCTGCGTGCAACGGTTTTTAAAAATATTTATTTAGTTGACAGGCAAAGCGACAGACAAGCGGAGAGAAAGAGAGAGAGAGAGAGAGAGAGAGAGAGAGAGAGAGAGAGAGGTCTTTCATCTACTGGTTTAAATCCCCAAATGGCTGCAACAGCCAGGTGTGGGCCAAGCTGAAGCCAGGAGCCTAGAACTCCATCGCGTTCTCCCAGTGGGTGGTAGGGGTCCAAGTACTCAGGCCATCCTCAGCTGCTTTCCCAGGTGCATTAGCAGGGAACTGGATTGGAAGCAGAGCAGCTGAGACTCAAACCAGCCCTCCGATATGGGATGCAAGCATTGCAGGTGACAGCTTAACCTGCTGTGCCCCAACGCAGGCATTCTTTATGTCTAAAACAATCCTTCCAGTATTACTATCTAATGCATTCCTTTAGAAATAAATTTGGGGCCGGCGCCGCGGCTCACTAGGCTAATCCTCCGCCTAGCGGCGCCGGCACACCGGGTTCTAGTCCCGGTCAGGGCACCGGATTCTGTCCCGGTTGCCCCTCTTCCAGGCCAGCTCTCTGCTGTGGCCAGGGAGTGCAGTGGAGGATGGCCCAGGTGCTTGGGCCCTGCACCCCATGGGAGACCAGGAAAAGCACCTGGCTCCTGGCTCCTGCCATCGGATCAGCGAGGTGCGCCGGCCGCAGCGCGCTGGCCGCGGCGGCCATTGGAGGGTGAACCAACGGCAAAGGAAGACCTTTCTCTCTGTCTCTCTCTCTCACTGTCCACTCTGCCTGTCAAAAATAAATAAATAAATAAAAATTAAAATTAAAAAAAAGAAATAAATTTGGACTAAAAAGTCCAAAGTTTTGTAACTATGGTCCCAGGAATTTTGTCTAGGTGGTAGCCACTTTTCTTGCTCTTTTTGAACATCTTAAATTTTCATTAAAATTGTTTTTTAAATTTTTTTTCTTGTCCACTTGAAAAGCAGAGGAATAGAGAGATAGCTAGAGATCTTCCAAATGCTGGTTCACTCCCCAACTGTCTGCAACAACAGCTGGGGTTGGCCCAGAGGGAAGCCGTGAGCCTGGGTGCCCCCAGGAGTGGCGGAGGCCCTGTCACTCAGCCATCCACTGCTCCTCCCCGGGTGCGCACCGGCACAGAGCTGGACTCCAACCAGGCACTGGGAGACGGGTCTGAGATCCAGGCCGGGTTTCAACCTCTCTCCCTGGAAGACACAGTCTTGATGAGTGGTACTGGGGGGACAGATTGTGCCTGGACACTGACTTCCGGTTTTTTGAGGGTCCTAAGCCTCAAGTCAAGCGCATGGACACACAGCACATTGGCAAAAATGCCTTTTAAAAAACTCCGTGAATGCCATCAGTATCCCTGGAGCACCTACTGTGTGCCAAGCGCCGCTTCAGGCGTCTGATCCACCCGACAACCCTAGGTCGGGGGGCTCCCGCTGAAAGAGAATGTGGGGGCGAGGGGTCAGGACCCTGACGTGAGGCGTCGCGAGGGTAACCATGGCAACCGTGCACCACCGCGGAAGGCTGGCCTGACCAAATGACCACGCAGTGACGGTCCGCGGCCAACAGCGACAGCTGCGCGTCGGACCCCTGACGGCAACGGGGGACTGCCAGTTCGAGCCGCAGGCTCACGTTGGGATGAAAATGACGCTGAGGGAGCGAGTCCGCGCGACAGCGAGGGACCCAGGCCCAACACGGACACGCGGATGGAACGGCCGTGACCACAGCGGGAGCTCGACCCGGAGGCCGCAGGCCAGACTCCCTGTGGCTGAGCCTGTCGGGCTCGGTCTACACCGGCTTGTGTAGGGGAGGGGCCTCTGACGTAAGACACGCAGTGGGGGACGCGGGGCGACGGACACCCAGCGCCTTCCCTCACAACGCGGCAGCCTCAAGTGCGGCGGAGGGGGCGGGACCAGAAGGCCCTCCAGGACCGTGATTCGTCGATACTCCGCCTGGCAGCCTATTACCTCCGAGCGGCGCCAAACCGCCCCACCAATGAGAGTGCGCCTGAGGCGGCGGATCCCGTCCCACCTCCGCCTTGCACGTGTTACGGGTTGTTTGGGAGAAAGTAAAAAGCTTTTTTTACGCCTACTTCTCTGCTATTCTTTGAAATAATGCCCTAACCCTTGAGATACCCCTGCGAGAAGAGGTGGAACAATATTAGCACATTCCCAAGATATGCCGGGGAGGGGGCGTGGCCAAGAAACGAGGTTGGAGACAAGGCAAACAGCCGGCTCACCCGAGTCCTAGGATTGGTGGAGAGCAGGCCCCGCCCTCTCGCGAGACCGCCTCCGGCACGTGACTTGGCGCACGGACTGTCGGGCCTTCCCCTCGGTCTCATCCCCCCCCTCCGCGCCGGCCTCAAGATGGCCGCCCTCTGGAGTCTGCGCGGCTGTTGAATGGCGAAAGCTTTATTGTTCCCTTTGGGTAGGAGTGTTCGTGTCCTCTATGGCGCTATCAATAAAGAACGGCAGTTTGAATCGGTGCTGAACAGGTAACCATAGAAACGGGCTGGGACTCAACGTGGAGACCCCTTTTGCAACTGAGGCCCGAGAGGCGTCCGACATGAGAGGCTCGCGGAGACCCCTCTGCGTGGCGCACTTCGCGGGGCCCTCCTAAGTCCTGTCCGCCCCCAGTCCGCCCCGGGACGTGGCTCCCCCGGGGCTTCCCCCACGGCGAGCGCAGGCTCGGGCGGGGGGATCGGCCGCGGGGACCCGGTCGGGGCGCTGGGCCGGGCCGGGTCCCGAGGGAGGCCAGCTGGGCCCGACCCTCGGCCTCCCCCCGGGCCCAGCCACATCCGCCCCCTGTCGCCCCGGGTCTCGGTTTCTGCAAGCCGGGACTGAAAACGGTCTTCACGTTTGAAACGGTTGGGGGCGGGGGGAAGAGTATCCGATGTCACTTGTCAGATCGCAGTGTCCGTCAGTGAAGTTTGGTTGGAGCACGGCCACGCTTGTTGCGCGCTTGCGGTCCGGGGCTGCTGCGTGGCCGCCCGGCCGACAGTGCGACAGTGACAGCGCCCGGAGCGAAGCCTGCGCACCCCGCCCCGGGGGAGTCGATGGGCTCGGCGGGGGCCTGGCCGTCCCGCCCGCCCCTCGCGGCCCTCTGGTCTTGGTGACTGTTTGGGGGGGTGCCTGTTTCTGCCGCCTTGTGTAGCAGTCACACCGTCCACACGGAGCCCGCCGCGGGCCGGCTGCTTCTGTCTGCTCGTCCGTAGCTTTGCCGCGGTTTTGGTAGCGCTTCGCGGGTACACGGCGTTTCGCTTTAGAAAAGCAGCCGGGTGCAGGGCCGGAGAGCGGGTGCGGCAGGTGCCCGGGGCCGGGGCCAGACGGCCGTGCTGCGGGCTTGGTTCTGGTTTTCTCCCCCTACAGCTGTATCCGGATCTTAGGATGCTGGTGCAGGCTCAATCGCGAAACTCCTTGGCCGAATAGCACGCGTTTGCCCTTCACCTCCTTTCTGCTGTAGAAATGTTTCTAATCTGGCATTGGTCCCAAACCTAGTTATTCGTCTTTCAGGAGTTTTTTGCTTTTAAGATTTTTTGTGGGGCCAGCGCTGTGGCACAGCGGGTTAACGCCCTGGCCTGAAGCGCCGGCATCCCATACAGGCGCTGGTTCTAGTCCCAGTTGCTCCTCTTCCAATCCAGCTCTCTGCTGTGGCCTGGGAAAGCAGTAGGGGATGGCCCAAGTGCTTGGGCCCCTGCACCCACGTGGGAGACCCAGAGGAAGCTCCTGGCTCCTGGCTTCAGATCGGCGCAGCTCTGGCTGTTGTGGCCATCTGGGGAGTGAACCAGCGGATGGAAGACCTGTCTTTTTGTGTAACACTGGCTTTCAAGTAAATAAATAGATCTTAAAAAAAAAAAAGATTTATTTGTTTATTTGAAAGGCAGAATTACAGAGAGAGTTTCTATCTGCTGGTTCACTTCCCAAATGACAGTGATGGCCGGGGCTGGGCCAGGCTGAAGCCAGGAGCCAGGAGCTGCTTCTGGATCTCCCACGTGGGTGCAGGGGCCCAAGCACTTGGGCCATCTTCCACTGCTTCCCCAGGCGCATTGGCAGGGAACTGGAAGGGAAGTGGAGCAGCTGAGACTTGAACCAGCGCCCATACGGGTGCTGGTGTCAGGTGGTGGCTTTACCTGCTCCGACATAGCACCGGCCCCTCACACTGACACATGGCGCTGAACCCTTCCATCTGCTGACTGTCTCCTGCCAGCTCGGCAGGTCCTCAAGGGCAGGCCCACACCTTACCTGAGGCTTCCAGGTGGGCAGTACAGAAGCAAATCCAGTCACCACTGAGCGGAATGTGACTGCCTGCTGTGCACTAGCTGCCGCTGTGCGGGGCCCTCTGTGCGGGGTGAGCGGGATGGCCCTGAGGCACCCTGTGTCCAGACGGCAACGAAATGACACGTTATTCCCAGCTGGTAGAACAGTGCTGGCAGAGAGACTGGTTGGGAGAGGCACTTTTTACCTGGATCCCCGGGGAAGACGGCTCTTGAGAAGGGAGTTGAGGCTGAAACTTGATGAGTGACAAAAAGTGTAGTGAGGAAGGGAAAGGGAGCGAAGCTGGGAAGAACTCTGCGTCCTGGGGAGTGGGAGAGGGGAGAAGCAGTGGCTGGGCTGTGGTTGATTGTCCCGAGCCCAGTCCCTGTCCCGGCTTTCCTTCCGGGCGGCTGTATGTCCTTCTGATCTTCAGAGCTCATCCTCTCTGTGTGGACAGCGTGGACAGCAGGCCCTCCTCAGAGTCGTGCTGATTAATAGGTTCAGTGTTTGTTTCTTGTTGCTGAATACGTTGCTGAATTCCAAATCTAGCCCCAATAGAAATTTACTTCCAGTATTAAATAATAGGAAAAATCCAGAAGTGTATTACAGACAAAATTTGAAGGAGGGATGGTTTTTCTATTATTGGGGAGAGGAAATCTTATTCTTTTCTTAGTGCCTTTATTTAGAGAGGAACTCTTCCAAATGGGCTTTATTTTTTAAACCAAATTATTCAACTGTGTACAGAGCATTTTTCCGTATTTTAGTGTTTTAAGCTTGAAACTATTTCTTTGCTTCTCCAAAGGTAGAGGTGTTTTCTTAGGGCAGTCCAAGAAAGTGCTGGGTGGGGTGGGTGCCGTGGCACAGGGGTCAGGCTGCTGCCTGGGGCGCTGGTTTCCATGCTGGAGCACTGGTTCCTGTCCCAGCACCTCCACTGCCACTCTGGCTCTCTGCTGATGCACTGCCTGGCTTTGGCCCGCTGGTCGGATCTTGGAGAATAAACCAGCTGTTGGATCCGCCCCTTCTGCTACCAGCTGGCCTTTCGCATAGCAAACAGGAAAGAAAGTGTGAGGCGTCTCCTTGGTGGTCATTTTACAATTTGTTGGCTAGTGATTTCAGGTTTCCTTTAAAGGTTCGCAAAATAACGTCGCATACTTTAAAGCAGTGTTGAATGCTTTGACAATAGGAGCAGACTTTTTGAACAGGTAAAAATAGGATGATGTGTGGGCTCCTGAACGTGAAGAGGCAGCAGTAAATCGAGGGTGCTATACAGAAAGATCAGCAGTGTCAAATTTTGCTTTAAACTGTAACCAGTAACCATTCTGCACATGTCATCCGAAGATACAGTCCAGCGCAGCAGATGGAGCAGGGAGCCGGTCAGAGTGGCATGTTAATGCAATGTTAAACAACAAGCCCCAAATTAAATTGCTATTTCAGGTTTGGGTGGGTCCTTCACATCTGAAGCATTGCAGTCTTACTCTGTGATTTGGGTCTGTTGGGTTCCAACAAGGAGTAGGTGGTAGCACGAGCTTTGAAGGATAATATGAAGCTGCAGGGAGAGCCAGGGCATACCAATTTGTTTTTCAATCTATTTTATTTCAGTTCAAAGCATCCTCACAGACAGGCAGCCCAGGAAAACAAGCCACACTTTGGCAACACTCAGCTGCCTTTGGAGATTGAGGAAGACTGCATATAAGCAAGGTGTGGCTTGCTTTCCTGGGCTGTCTGTCTGCAAGGATGCTTTGAGCTGAAATAAAATAGATTGAAAAACAAATTGGTGTGCCCTGTTGCCTCATATGGAGTATTTACATTAGTCTGCCCGAGTACAGCCCATGCCGGCGCCCTGGGGGAGGGCAGTGGCCCCTCAGCCTCTTTGAGCTCTTCAACAGAGCTAGCTCTTTGATTTTCCCAAGAAAATGGAATTGGGATATGTGGTTTTCTGTCCAGTAGCCTGCCTTCTAAAGCCGTCATCTTGATAATGTGGAGAAGGCAGGCTACTAACCTCATAGACGAAAGAATTAAATATTAAGGGCATTTAAATGCAGAGATGAGATTGTCACTTTCTTGAAGTCTGGCAGAGGGTTGGGTGTTTCATTTGCAGACTGTGCGCAGCTTTGAGACTGGCGTCCCTCCGGGGAGAAAAGAGAAGGGAAAGAAAGCCGGCTTCCCTTATATTGCCCCAGTGTTGCTCCTGAACTCCAAATGCTCAGAACCACGTTGCCAGGAGTTTCATTTCCTTGCATAAAGTAATCCATTAGAGGCTGTCCGCCTCAATCAGAGCTTGTTGAGCTTGGGGTAAATGCTTGAATGCAAGGACCCACGAATCCTTTGACGATGCGGCAGATTTGTGTGAATGGTGTTTTTATGGGCGAGAGACCCTGTTAACCTTAATCGGATCTCAGAGGGGTCCTCGACCCCCCGAAGGTGCAGAGCCAACAGGGAAGCATCGCAGGTGATGCAGGTCCCGCCACCAGTGCCACCAGTCACTGTCCACTGTTCTGTGACCCTGACTTCCCAGTTCTCCTCTGCCTTTAGGCTTTGTTTCCTGTGGAAAGTGGTCCAGCTGGGTATTTGCATAATAAAGATAGCCACCGGGTGGAGTGCGAGAAGTGCCTTGGAGATGAGTTGGGTGGGGTGGGGTGGGTGTGCCGGCCGGTTTCTCCTTCTGACAGGGGCAAGGAGGAGGTGGTAGAAGGTAGGACTTTGTTTCTAGGCATCCACTTGCAGGTGGAGTCAGTTCCTCAGGAAAGCTGGGTGAAAAGGGAAAGAAGAGAAGGAGAAAGGATGATGTGAGGAAGAAGCGAAATCAAGACAGGACGTGTTCCCTGTCAGGGGCACACACCACGCTAAGGACCTGCAGCCTGCCGGGTGACTACGAGAGGGACGACCATGCAGACTTGGGCTTTGTAAGATCACTGGCCCCAGCGCCCCAAGGAGATGAGAGGGGAACAAAGCTGGAAGCCATTGACCAGCCAGCTGGAGGGCTGTTCGAGTAATCCCCATGAGAGATTAGGGTAGCTACCCACCCGGGAGCAGCCTGTGTCCAGCAGAAACCCCTATGTATCTGCCCCCTGTATCTATTTTGAGATAAACTTGTCTCAGCTCTTGACTAATACTGGGACCTTAAAAAAAAAAAAAAAAAGACAATCTGCAGATGTGATTTCTGGCTTTCTTAGTACCCAAAGGAAGAGAAAGAATGAGATGTCTTTATTTTGGGATTTTTTTTTGTAAAGGTAGACCTCAA